TCTCTCTCTCTCTCTCTCTCTCTCTCTCTCTCTCTCTCTCTCTCTCCCTCCCCCTCCCCCTTCCTCCCTCCCTCTGTGTGAGAGAGTGCCACAGCATGTTTGTGAAAGTCAGAGGACAGCTTTCTTGAGTCGCTTCTCACCTTCAGCTATAGGACTCAGGGGTTAAACTCTGACTGTCAGGTTTATACTACAAATACTTTTATCATCTGAGCCATCTCTCTGCCCCTTAACTTTCTTTTAATGAACTCCTTTTACTAGTGGGTCACTAATACCCAATCATCAACTCAGTGAGCTATCCTCCAATCCAGGGATAGTTCCCACTTTTGGCTTTTACCTCCTCTGGACACCTCTTGCTTTAGTTTTAAGTTGTTCGTTTGCTGGCATGTTTGAGGATGGTGGCAGTGGGGGACAAATTTAGCTAGCCTGGGAATATTGGTTAAAAACAGACAGAAGAGCTCAATTTTATGAAGTGAAATTATTCAAGCCATTCCTAGATGCCACAGCAAGTAAATCGTAGAGTATCTGAAAATTAACCAGTGGAGGGTTGCCTAAGGGAGAGCCAGGAGGACAGTAAACCACTCAGGATCCAGGACGTCACTTCAAATGCGTCACAGAGGATTTGGTTGAATGAGTTTCCAAGATAAATTTCCAGAATGCTGTTTTCATTGTATTTGGGCCAAGACACTGGGTCTGCAGAGCGGCATGATGGTGTGTGTAGCTAGTCTAGGCTGGATAGCAAATAGGCTGGGATGAGCCGCAGTTAGCCTGAGTGGGCGCTAGTCTAGAGTGCATAATGATTAGTCTAGGGGTCATTACCAGCTATCATGCATCGAAGCACGACGTCAGACTTCTCCGGAACCTTCTGGGAAAGTAACGTTGATAAAAAACATAGTGTGTGCCTCTGGGGGCAGCCTGGATCTGTCATCCTTTCATGCCACGTGATCTGAAACATAAACAAGGCCACCATCACTGTATGTTCTGTGATTACCCTAACCTCCTTTGGAATCCCAGAAGCTGTGTGGTATGTCTCTGCTGCTCAGCCACAGTTGGGCCAGGAGGCAATTGGAGGGTCCTCAGAAACCTGGAGCACAGAGCTGTTAGGAATGGGTCAAGCAGTCATCTTACCCCTCTCAAAGCAGTTTGCAGTTTCTTTGATCTCCACCCACTAGAAGTCTAGTATTCCACATCCTCCCATGGCAGTGTCAAGTATCCCTCAAGGTACAGTTGGACATCCCTGCCTAAAAGCCACCAATTGAGCAGTGCTGGGACTATCCCACAGCTATAAGAGCACACACAGGGAAAATGAGCCCACAAGCCTGCAGTTATAGCTCTCTCTTCTTGCTCTGAAGGCTGGGAATGAGGCTCAGTTGAGAGAATGCTTTCCTGGTGTGTACAAAGTCCTGAGTTCTATCCCCAAATCATATAACCAGTCTGTAATCCCAAAACTATGGAGGTGTGGACAGGAAAGTCAGGAATTCAAGATCATCCTACGCTTACACAGCAAATTTGAAAACAGCCTAGGCTGGATGAGATCTTGTCTCAAAAATACAAAATAAACGAACAAACAAACAAAATATCATTTATATACTATTTATATATCCCCTCAAAAAGAGATGACTGTATTAAAATGAATCTTTGCAAGGGGAAGATGTTGAACTTTGGAAACTACTGACCCTTCTGAACACCAGTCTGGTACCCAGGGGAGGGGCTGGGTTTGTGTTTTTGAACACGCATGCCTTCTTTGGTAGTCACATACTTCTTAGCCATCAGGAAATGTCAGTTCACTTAATGTGTCTTAAATTAACTAAGAGTAGTTTTGATGCCTCTTATATTGCACACATGAGGAATATTAGGCTCAGGGAGTTTCCTCAACTAGCTGATGATAGCACAGCAAGTGGCTGCCAGCCTGAGGCTGCCCACCTTCAGGACTGTGCAGGCTAACACTGGAATAACAGTGCTCACAGCTTGTACAGATATGATGTAGCCATGAGAATGCAGGTGGGTCTGAATCCAAAGGACTTGTTCTTCCTACTCTACTGACAGACATATGTCAGCATCTCCCACCAAAGTTGTCCTTCACAAAGTCCCGAGCTTTGAAATCACAACTAAGTCTATCCAGTCGGAAACCGCTTCTGCTTTCAAACACCATGGAGCTCAGAAAGAGGACAAGAACCACAGTAGTGTGGTGAGCAAGAATGGAGAAGAGGGGATTAGAAAATGTAAGTGGTCAGTCTAGGGGTACTGGGTGCCATAAGATAGCCTGGATGTCAGCCATTAACACCCAGTCCCCACCCTCTTGTAGTCTGGATGCCAACTTTTTAAGCATTAGCACCCAGTTCCCACCCTTTCCTCTTAGTTTTCCAGAGGGTGTACTACCCAGAGAGATGGCTGCCAAAGAAGTTCCCTAGCATTAGATGAAGATCTCACTGACACCCACACAGTTGCTGAGGAACAGGAGTGAAGAAGGAAAACAAGTACAGAGAAAGAGACTTCACAGTGTGGAAAGACCTCTGCCTCAGTGGCAGGACCCAGCTCTGGAGGGGCTCCCTGTTCAAGTTGAACCAGGACTGTGGTGGTGGCAGAATCTCAAACAAACAAAAGACTCTTTCTACTTTGTCATAAAGACCTGGATCTATGTTCCTGTGTGGCCCTACCTAGTAGGCACTCCTCCTGGAAAATTCCAGTAGTAAGAGCTAGACATTCCACTACTAGAGAATGCTATCTAGGGCCTCTCTAGCTATTGCTGAGGTTTGAAACATCTCCTTCACGTCAAGATGATCTATTTAGTTTAGAATAAGGTGAGTTCTTGATCAAACTGTCTCTGCATGGAATACCTGCAAACTTGTCACATCCAGGTAAAGACACTCATTTAAGAGAACTCACTGCCGCCTTCCCTCCATCACAGGAAGCAAGATGATGCATAAGCCTGAGGCTTCACTGACTCATTTAATGGGTAGAAAAGGCTGCAGAGCTGAAGGTGGTACATGTTAGCATCAAAATGCAAGAGTCATGAACACTTCAGCAGGAAAAGAAGTTTGACATGGCCAGTAGCTACTAGGATCCATTGAAGGAAACAGAAAAGAAGGTTTGAAGGAAAGCTACTATCAGAACATGAGTCCTTTGGGGACTTGGAGCTGCATTTCCAATATTTTTGGTTGCAGGACTTCTATAAACACAGCACCTGAAGCACCTGGGGTTCCTGAGTAGGCCTTATATCTAACTCATAAGAGTCAGGCGAGCCTGTATCACTGTAGATGACGAATTAGTTGCATGGGACAAGAAGATAATTCCCCTGCAACTCCGTTCCAGAGTAGCTCACAAGCGTACTCAGTGGCTGAAGGTAACTAGGGACATGCCTCCTCATGCTGCTGCGAAGACCCACCTTTGCACAACAGGCAGAAGAAAACAATTAGTCTTCGACAGCACTATAGTTAGTTGCCCCTCGTTAGAGACTCAAGGGTGGTCATGGAAACCAGCGCTATCTATTTGGTTTGAGGTCTGTTTGTTAAATTTGAACATGTATTTAAGATTTTAAAGTTGACATTGCTCAGTACCTCTGAGAAGATAGTTTTAGAGTCAGAGGTACGCATGTGGCAGAAAGAAAAAATCTAAGTCACCTCTGGCTTTTCATCTTACTGAAGTGCTGAAGACAAAACCTAGAGCCTGATGTGTTAGGCAAGTCCTCTACTATTGATGCACACGCCTAGACCCAATTTTTTAAATGGTATTCTACAACAGTGTAGTAAACCCCATGCATGTGTTCATCCATTCACCATGACACAACACAGGGGAGGGGCAAGAGCTGGCAAAACCTATGGACTTGTGGCTTCAAGTTGGAAATGCTACCTCCTGTGACTTATTGACCAATGTTATATTTAAACATATCTATAATGATATAATTAACATACCACATGCTTCACCCACTCAAAAGCTATGACTCTGTGACTTTCATTATAACTAGCTTGTGCAACCAGCATGCCCACAGTCACTTTTAGAACGTGCTGTCACCCCCAAAGGAAGCCTCGCTCACCTCCCCCTTTCATTATCCCCATGCCCAGTCAGTCCATGTCCACACAGTCTTGTCACCACCAAGACACTTTCTAGTTCTATGGATTTGTTTCTTCTGGACACTTTGAATAATCACTCTTCCTCTTGGCGTAATGTTGTCAAGTTTGTTGGGAAGATCTTGTCTCGCTGTTGACAAGAAAGATGACTACCTTGGCTCTCCACATTCTTATAAACTTACTCAGATTCTTGGGGAATCTCACAGCTGGGAAATGCTCTCCTGAGCAAGAGACATCCTACCTAGGCTTCTGGACCAAACCCAGGCTGCCATCGAACAGATGTAGATGCAGCTCTGTCACTTCTCTGGGTAAAGAATGGAGCCTAGTTCGTCCCCTGTCGGCAGGGCAATGGTAACAGTGTAAGGATCAGAACCCGTGTCAGCTGCCTGTTGCATGATTAGTTCGGGTGATAGTAACCTGGAGGCTCTCAGGTAGGACTGCCTCTTCACAAATTTCCTTTTCTGCTGTGGGTTACGACAGTGCTGTTGTTTTTTTAAGTGATATTCCAACTAACAGGTAAACAAGTCTCCTAGAGCAATGCTCCTTGAGAAAGTGATACACAGAGCAAGCTGCCTCCCACTCCTATTCCTAGGACCACGGCTGTGGGTTAAACGGAAAGAAAGGGCTCACAAAGCTGGGCTGGTGGCAAGACTCCTGTGCGTCAACTTCAACTCCTCCACAGGTGACCACTTCCTGTCAGTTCTGTCCCACACGTGAAACTCCTGACATGACAGTGTGCTTGACTCACGAGGTTGGGTTAGCTTCTGAGCATCTTAGCCACTGGGCACTGACTGTTCTCTGAGGGAAAGGGACAGTTAAGTCGGGCTGTGGTTCATGTTTCGTGGCTTCCCTGTAGGTGAGAATGACATGTTTATAGTCCTGTGCTAGAGATGACGGATGAATACTGAGCGTGCTGGGGGTGACAAATTGAGGCTGAACTATTAGCCTTGATGGAGGGAGACACAGAGGGAGAGCTTCAAAATCAACCTAAGCGGGGAAGCAAATTAGCTCAAAAGAACATCAGATTTTTAGCCCCTACCTGCTATTCTTTCCTTCTTTCTTTTTCCTGTGTGGTTCAGGGCAAGTTTTTTACTTTAAAAAGAAAAAAAAATGATACAGGGTTTTAAGTATACAGATCTTAAGTACATACATTTATGCCTTTAGAAAGTACATGTAATATATGTGTTTAGAGATGACCACTTAGGAGATTTTATACACACACACACACACACACACACACACACACACACACATAAACACACAAAGACATTCATAAGAGAGAAGTTGTGACTGGGAAGGACAGCAAGCCATAGAAGGAGTTGGAAGATAAAGGAAGCATAGGAATGAAGTGAATATAGTAGTACTAGTTAAGTTAGTATAAAGACTCTAAAGGTCATCTGAATAGCAAAATAAGCACTGTGTGAGCATTGTCTAACTCTGGGGCTTTGGACTTAATGTCTGGAAAATTATAAAAGCCATGCCTCTTACACAAATTGGTAGAGAGAAAGTATGAGTCTATAGGCAGGTTCTTAGGAGGATTTCAAACATCTGAAAAAGGCCAAGGTTTATTTTGGCTCAGCACAGAGAGTCAGCTGTCATCATCAAGAACAAGGAAGAGGCCATAGAGCACGGGAGTGGCTCTTACAGAGCTGGCAGGAGAGCCAGCCATCGAGTCTTTTCACTGTGGGAAAGGCAGGGTTACTTGATTGCCATTGGCAGGGCTAGTCCTGAATTTACTGTTACTGATCTTTTGGACACCACACACATTGCCCTTAGTACTCAGCCCCATGTTAGGGGAAGTACCCTCCCCAAAGGGGTTCTGGACATTTCATAAGGGCATGTTCAAGACAGACTGCCCAGGCACAGATAACATTTTGCG